GAAAAATATATTCGACACATTAATTGGATTAAGGGGAAAATTACAGATTTTATTCTAAAATCATTATTGGAGCCTGATAAACCAGATATAACTAAATCTGAGAAGGACCAAATTTTAGAAATAAGAGTGAATTTGTCAGTTGGTAAGTATACCTATATGTATTTTAAAAGTTAGGGTAAATTTAATATTTATATTGACAGAAAAAGCTCTTTAATGGAAAATTTATTCATAGAAAAAAGATTTATATTTTTCGAAAATTCCATTTATGTTGAAGTTTAAACTTTTCATTTACAAGGTAACGGATAATTCTGATTCATGCGGATGTATATCAGAAACACTAATAGAATTTTACTCCCAGCCAAGCTAAAAATATATGTATGTAGATCTTTTTCCTGGGGATTTTTCCACCAACATAAATAAAAATTTTTACTAAAAAATTATGGTTGCAGACATTTTCGCTTAAATATTGAAAATTTTGAAATAATTAAAAAATTTAATCGAGCCGGTTTCTCTATATTTGATAAAAATTAAGAATTATCAAACTATCCAGAGGCAAAAGAAGCATTAAGAGATTTTGTTGGCTATTCTGGGATTGTTAGAATGATTACCGAGTTTGGATGGAGAACGAATGTTGAGAACTTTGGGATAAATAGTGAAGAACTTAATGAAGTAGTAGAAAAGGAACAGAAGGATCAGGTAGATCCGGATGAGCAAAGAAAAAATAAAAAGGCAAGGGAAGCTTCTGATATATCATCAGAAACTTCACAAGGATCTAGTGATATAAAATCAAAAAGAAAAAATAAATTAAGTAAACAAGTGAAACCAAAAAAAGTATTTTTGGGAGAATCTAAACATGATAGTGTTAAAAAACAATTGAAAAAAGAAAAACTTTTGCGGAAACGAAGTTTTTTGGAAAGAATTAAATCTCAAAAAGAGCAACAGGGAGATTCGGGTTAATTTTATTTTGGGGTTATTTAAATGTTTTTCCTTTTGATTAATTAAATCAGCCACAAAATTCCCTCATTGTGCCATTTTAGGATATATTTACCTATATACTTTTGGCTGGCTATTGTGGGATTCAGAAGCTTGATTGTATACTGATTAAGAGCTTTACAGATAACTTAACACCGTCACGTGTATCGAACCTGAATTTCCTAATATCCGCTAATCACTCATCATATTTCATAATCAATCAAATTAAATTATAGATAAAACTAACGAAAAAAAATCTGCATTTTACGATGAAAATTTCCACAAAGAAATACAAAAGTATTCTACAAATGAAAAATTCAAAAAAGATTATTTTGAGCCAATATTAAATAAAATAGAAGATACTTTAGATTTGGCAAAAGATTTAGTTAATTATGAAAATAAGGAGGAGAGGAAGTGGATTAATGAAATTAAAGATAAATGGGACGGTAAAAAGATGCAAATTTTATCAAACAATGAAAAGAAGTTGACTTTAATAAAGGAAAATTTAAAAGGATTTTTAAATAAAGTTAAAGAAGAAATTAAAGAAAATTTATTGGTAAGTCTTATAAAACATATAAAAATTTAGTGACTACCAGAGGTGAACAGAAATGACGAAGGTGTCGGAAATCGGAACTGTCGGAAATCGTAAATGGCGCAAAAGTCGAAACTCGGAACTCGGAAATCAAAATTTTTTTCGGATATTTGATTGGGGACTATAAAGATATTTTTACAGCTTCGAAGAGTGCTACGAGAATATGATTCGGATTTATTAACTCACAAGCACATTAAATGGCCTCGTTTACAAAAAGCAAAAAGAGAAATGAAAGAATTAATTAAAAATTGGGTAAATTTAAAAATTAAATTCTCATATTTTCTCAAAAATTAAGATCCCTTTTTCTCATCAAAATAATGAAAAAGATCCTCCAAATGACAGCCCAAAATTTATATTGTCAGGATCACACCGTTTAGGCGCTGCAACAATAAATTCTGACATAGATGGAGTTATTTTAGTTGCTCGTAAAGGTTATTGGCCTACACAATTTGAAAATGATTTTTTTGGAAATTTTGAATGTATTTCGAAAAAATGTTTAGATAGAGAGAATGTTTCGAAGGAGGAAGAAGATTTGAATGAAATTAAGGATTATTCCCTTTTTTGTAAATTATGTGAGGTATTTAATTTTAGTTAAATTAAATTTAAAATTCTTCTGAAATAGGGTTGGGTGGGATCTGGATCTCAGCATAAAATCGGGATCGGGATTTTGGAATAATGATCCCTATCCCAGTCCCAACTGCGGAATCGAGATTGGCCGAAACCAGGATCGGGATTTGTCTTTCGGTCTTGGGATCAAAAAAACCGGGATAATCCCGCCCGATCCCGAACGGGATCCCGATCCCGCCCAACTCTATTCTTAAATATTAAAGAATCCTCAAGTCGAAAATTTGAGAAGAATTTATGGGCGAGCTCCAATAATTGGATTGAAATTTGCCGGTTTTGAATTTGACCTTTCTTTTGTAACGCTTGAAGAAGAATTGTTAAATAAATTTTTTAAAGAAGAGAATTCTTTAACTGTGAAACAATTGGATGAAGTTATTGAAAAGTTTAGGGAGGAAATGCCAAATATTTATTTTGAAGCCAATAATGAAACGATAATTAGGTTGAGGTTAAATACACTTTTAGGAATGATTTATGCACTTTCTGGTAGTTTTTTTGTGAATTTGAATAAGATAAAAAAGGACTTTTCTTTAGGAGTACGATCAACTTTACGTTTTGTTGAATTGCTTGATAAAAATATAAATAAATTTCGACTAGCATATATTACAGTAAAATTGTGGGCAAAAAGTAAGAATAATTATTTATTATGACAATGTTACTTACTTATAATCAGTGTTTGGAATTTTGAAAATTGCTCGTACTCGTACTTTCGTACAGGCCTTTTCCTCGTACTCGTACTTGCCTAATTTTTTCGTACTCGTACTCGTACACAGGTACGAGGACGAATTTTGGTATGAGCTTCCAAAACTGCTTATAACTACCGTATTTCATATATTAGAATGCCATAGCATTCTATTTTTCAATCACTTTCAAAAGAGGCATTCTAATAGAGGAAATAGGGTAATTCAAAATAATATTTTGAAATTTTAATTTACAATAATATTTCTGTATTATTTCCGAAAATATTGTAATTTTAGGAATTTATAATACATATTAAAATTCCGGAAATATTTTTTTGCAAATATTCCCAAAAATATTATTAAAGTTCATAATTAATAACTCATTAAATTCTCATTAAAAGATCATTATATCTATGGCGGCAAATTTGGATTTTTAAATGGTTCTTCACTTGCTGTGCTCGTTAGCAAATTTGTTTTAGAAAATTCAAATAAATCTTTAATAACAATAATTATGGAATTATTTAAATATTTAGTTAATTATTGGTTTAAAATTGAATTGGGTGAAGAAAAAATAATTTTTGTTGAAGCCCCAAAGGGTTATGAAAATACGAGAAAAATTGTTGATTGGAATTTGGATAAAGAGAGGAAACAACGTGAAGAACATTTTAAAAGTTTATTGAAAGAAGGATATGAAAAACATTCAAAAATTTTATGGCCAATTATTTTGCCGGGGTTTCCGACACAAAATACTGGATTTAACATTAATGGAAGTACAGATTTAATTATTAGAGAGGAAATAAGGGGAGGTTTAAATAAATTTATAAGACTAAAAGGACAGTTTGAAAATTTACTGGAAAATAAGGATATCGATAATTCTGAACAAATATGGAAAGATTGGCTAAATGGAGGAAAGTTTAGCGATAAATATAATAATTATTTGGCAATTATTTGTTTACATACAGAACTAAGCTTTTATGGACCTCAATTTTGTGAATTTACAGAAATCCGTATTCGACTTGCACTTTTATCAATTGTTGAATATAACAATCCGAACATTCAATATTGTCATGTATCCCCAACAAAATATTTTGATAATAAACCTTGTCCTAAACAATTCGTTGAAAGAAGATTTTTAGATTGGATTTGTAATGTTTGGATTGTTGGAATTAAAGGAGGAAATGTTGTGGAAATTAATGAAACGCTTAGTAAAAATATTTTTAGAGATTTTAACAAATTGAGACGTGGAAGGAAGTTGAGACTGAGTGATAAGAAAAAATTTAGATTGGAGACTAAGTTTTTTGTGAAAGATGAATTGAAGAAGATTGAGGATGTTCTTTATGGGAATTGAAGGGACGGGAATTGAAGGGGGGTTGTTTTGATTTTATTTGTTAATTACCTCAAAATTTTAAATTGTTTTAAAGAGCTCTTCTAATTAGAGACCGAGAATGACTGCTATTTAAAAATTATAACAGAAATATATTTAAAATTTTAATCAAGGCAACATTTCGGTCTTGAACGATTTCTTAAAAATTAAATTTTATTGAGCGAAGATTCTATTTTTTTAATTTATTTTTGAGAAAATTATAAAATGTATGGTAGGAAATAACTACAGAGTTATGTTTATTTACATAGTTTATTCCAAATTTAGAACTAAGAGAATTACCTATAAATTCTTTGGTAGGAATCATCATCAAATGTCAGTTTTTTAATTCCAAGATTTTTAATCTCGTATTTTTAATCAAAATATTTTGAAGGGTTTTTTCTTAGGCCTATAAACCAGTTTAATAATTATATGTTACTTAATTAAGTTTTAATTAATTTGTTATTTTTTATGTGATGTTTTAGAATTGTCAATGGTATGTTGGGCGGAGATAACATGAAAACCTTTAATACCTCGCTATATCTCGAGCTGCGGACTTTGGGTAATAATCTGTTAGTAAGGAAATAGAGGATTATAAAGGAAAAAGGGCTACAGAGGTTTAGTAGTAGTAATATCAAAAGATATGCTTATTGAAATTTATTTGGATTTTTCGATTTTCAGATAAAAATTTATGAGAAGGTGATAATAAAAAAATAAATAAAAACATAACAAAATAAATAAAAATTAAATAATTTATTAGAAATTCGTAGTTTAATTAAATTCTTTGTCTTGATTTTAATTGAATAGTAATTGTTTCTGGGTTCAGAACAACTTGGCCAGAAAAATTTAATTCAACCTGAATTATAAATTTTTATTAAGTTTTACAAATTTTAAGGTTTACCTCCGTCTTCCAACATCTTTTTAATTCAAATGAGCGTAATAAATGAACTAAAACCATTTTAATTTCCATCATTCCCAACTTCATTCCAATACAAATTCTAGGCCCTCCCCCAAAAGGATAATAATATTCTGTAGGTGTATTTATATTCTCATTTAATAACCATCTTTCCGGTTTAAATTCTTCAGCATCTTCTCCCCAAATTTTTTTATCCCGGTGTAAAGTGAATAAATCGGCTGAAACAACTGTGCCTTTCTCTATTGTTATATCTCCGAGAGTTGTTGTCTCCTCACAAACTCGGTTAACAACACTTAAAATTATTTACTATTTATTTAAGGAATATTTTCTTTATGAGAAAATTCCCTGAATACTTAGGGAGTGATAACAACTTAAAAATTTATTTATCCGACCAAGATTTAATTTATCCAATTTGATTCATTTTATTCAAGCATATCTCCTCGACTTTAATTTTTCGGGAGAAACTACCAAAAACATTTTAAAGGAGATTAAATTACAAAAATTCATTAATTTTTTGACCATCTACAAGGACCAATAAAAAATTCTTGACACCCTAAATACCAGGGATGTCACGAGAGTTATCCGAAACTGGACCCAAGAATTCTTTAAAGCCTGCCCCAACTTTTTTAGATTAATTTTAACTGCTTTGGGAGGGATATTGAGGGATTCATTCAGATGAAGATTTAGGGTAAAATTCCTTATACCAGCGTAGTTTTTTAATAAAAAACACTAACGCTGCAGCCATTGGACATAGTCTTTGTGTTTCATAAAACACAGCATCTGCATATTTTAATTTGGCCAATTGTTCATAATTAATTATTTCCCCTTCTTCTAATCCACAAATTTCCTCAATTTCTTCAAATAAACGTTTCTGAACTTCAGGGTAAAAAATCAAATTGTGTGCTATTAGGCTTAATGTATTTGCTGTTGTATCAAATCCAGTTAAGAGAAAAAGGAATAAATTCATAACAATTTCATCTATACTATTACGACGTTCATTCTAAATTTTAAATATTTTTATAGATAAATTTAAATAATTTTTTGTAAAGAAAAGTGAGACTTTTACTAATAACTAGAGCCCGCATGGGACGGGACCCCGTACAGGATTTTACGGGATCCCATCCCGGAATCCCGGGTTTTTAGCGAGAAACGGATTTCCGGGATTTAAGGGATTAATCCCGCGGGATCCCGTCTCGGTCGAAGTTGAAAACCCAATCCCGTTCCGGGATCCCGGGAATGCGATTTTGCCTACCTCTAATAATAACCCAACCCAAAAATTCATCCAATCGGCCCAAATTTTGGGGCAAGGGACCGCGGGAAACGGAATGTCAAAGTTTAAGGGACTGACCTAGACAGCGTTTAAGACTAAAATTTAATAAAATTAAATCATAAATCAAAAATCTCATCAAAAATAAAATTCTTTGATCTTTTCATTTCCTTTTACCCCTATTTTTTATCTAACTTTTAATAATAATTTATTATTATTGCTTCCGCTACCTAATAAACTTTAGATAAATTTAATTTTTTTTAACCTTTTCCACTTTTTCTGATCTATTAAATGTTCCACTATATTCTTTCAATTCTACTTTTTCGGCCTCAGATTCCAAAAAAAGGTCAATAAAATTAACCCATTTTTTATTATTTAAATTTTCTTCATCTTCCTCATCTTCTTCATCTTCCATTTCATTTTTCTTCATTTTCTCTTCTTTTCTTCGTTTAACAGCTTCATAAATCTTTTCTATCAAAATCTGTCCTGGATCTCTTCTCAAATTTCCTGTAGCGCCAAGAAAAGGACTGAGCACATTTAATCCCACCCAGGGGAAGATATAAGAAAGATAATCAAAAATATTATTGTTAAAAACTGTAAGAGTATCTCTTGATAATTGACAAAATTCTTTTGAATCTTTTTGTCCCATAGCAAGTCGATAGATTACATCGAAAGTTAATTCAGTGAAATAACTTTAAAAATAAAGGAAGAAATTTTTAAAATAATTTTTTAAACATACTCGACTATATTTATGTGATTTCCAGGTAAATAAGTATTTTTTAATATTTTAATATTATTTTGTATTGTATCATCAATTATTGGCAGTGCCTTAAAAATTAAAACTTTATTAAAAGCTAGGGGAGTGTGTTTAATTTATTGTTGGAAACCTCGGTTGAAATTCACTTAATAATTTTATGATTGGGGACCCTTTTTGTTAAATTATCTTCGTATAGTATGTAAAATAGTTGGGCTATAGCTATTTTTCTCCTTTAGCTAATGCAAAGGATTACGGCTGGGAGCGATCCAGCATCTTCAGTAGACCGGACTGATGTGCTATCCATTACACCACATCGCCTACTCCATGGCCTTAGGAATTAAATAGCTAGGTGGTTTACAGTGTCATTTGATAGATAATTTAATTTCCTACAAAAAATCAAAATTTTCTACAATAGCAATCACAAGTTTGAATCAAAATACTAAATTATTATGTAATTTTTGAGAGTTTCGGTTATAATTAAATTTTTATTTCTCAATAAATTTTACAGAAAATTAAATTCTCTTATTAAATTACCGTATTTTCTCTAGTAATCCCCCAGTCTTTATTAATTCCCCACCTCTATTAATTCCCCACCCTAGAGATGGGTTGAAAAATAATCCCCCTGGGGGATTACTAGAGAAAATACGGTATATAAAAATGGCTAAAAATACGAATTATTAAAGAAATAAAAAATTAAAAATTAACTAAAGAATTATAATTGTTTTTGATTATTTTAATTAGGAGAATAAAATAAAATAATTTCTTACTCTTTTTAAATTAAAAGTAGAAAAAGCTGGATTAGCAATATGCCGAAGACGTTTCCAACGTCTTCCTTTTGTTGCAAATAAATGTACCATACTATTTGTGTTTACATTACCAACCATTGGGTTAACCTTTAAATAAAGAAAAATTTTTAATTATTTAAATTTAAAAATATTTTAATTAATTTCTATTAAAATGCTTAAAACTAGGGCTGTACCCGAACGCTCGGGCGGGTGTGCAGGGGTACGGGGTTTTCCAAATGTTTCGAGGCGGGGTTCGGGTCGGGGGAGCAAAATATGTTTAAAACTCTCTACTTAGAACTCTAAAAATATAAGTTGTTTAAATAAGTTAAGTAGGTTTCTAACTTTAGAAAGAGAGCTTTATTTCAAAAAAAAAGTCTAGGTTTAAATTTAATAGAAAATTTTTGGAAGAAAACTATCAAGCTTAAACTTGGAAAATTGTTTTTACTTACAAACACTTTTCGAAATCCAGGTTTGAGTAAAGCAGCTGGGCTATAGCTATTTCTCTCCTTTAGCTAGTGCAAGAGGTTAATCGGCTGCTGGGTGCGAACCAGCATCTTCAGTAGACCGGACTGATCCATTAACCACACCGCCTACTGCACAACCTCAGGAATAGCTATATGCTTTACATTTATTTAACAAAACTTACCATATGTCCATACATACTCTCGAATTTATCAAAAAGTAATTCTTTAACCATTTCTGGTTCACTAATAACCAACGTATTAAACCATCCATTTTTAATTCCATAAATTCTTCCATATTTTTTACTCCAATCAAATAATTGTAAAGATGAGGGGTTTTTATTAAAAATTAAGTCTATATTTCCTTTCCAAGGAGAAGGTTCAGGACCAGGAATTCCTCTATTCTTCCAATAATTATTTTTTCTTATTGCAGTCCAAAATAGAAAAAAGGCGGAGATTATTAAAATTAATAGCATTTTTTGTTTTTATTGGCACACTCAACTTTAATAGATTGATTTAAATTAATTTTTTAGGAAAATTAAAAAAAAAATTTTTAATATGTGATTGGAGAATAATCACTTATTTTTCCCCAATGATTAATTTTCTAAAATAAAAAACTACTGGAAATTACTAATATTTTAGGTTTATTATTAAGTTGATAATAATCAAGTTAGAAAAATGAATTCAGATATTAAAGGCTTTCAAAAGTAGAGACTGGACCGAGACGAGATCTCGATTACTCGGTTATCTCGATCTCGATTCTCGTACGACACTCCCAGACTGAGAGTGTCTCCTCCTATTAGAAAATATTATTAATCCCATTCCGGCTCTATTCTCACTCCCATTCCGGTCTATATTCAAAAATGAAAAGGGACTTTAGGTACTTATAGTATGGGTATTGGGTTCGACTTTTCGGACAGTTTGAAAAACTTAAAAAATTTTTTTTTCAAATTTAGACTTTACTTGAAAGATATAAGGCTATTTTTTAGATAATTTAAATGTAAACAAAATATAACTGATCATTTAAAGAGAGAGAAATGCTTTTTTCCCCTCTCATTAAATAGCGCCAATATCTTGAACATGTTCATGATCGTTAAACATTTTAATTAATTTATTTATGTAATTTATTATTGTAGGGATAATTTTAACATCGAGAACATAAAAAGTTGGGGGAGAAGAAATAAATTATACAAAAAATGTTAAAATTTTATCTTAGAAGCTAGGGGGTTGTTTGGACGTTTGGACATTTATGGCTCCATAAAATTTTGCATGGACATGAATAATTGATGGCCCTTCTAGAGAAGTTTAATAACACTTCAAAACCCCCCTTATTCCTTGAACGCCCAAAACTCCCCTCTGACCCAAAGATTGGAATTTTAAATATCAGAGATTAGGAATTGTTTAAACACTAAGTGTCCAAAACAGAAATTTTGCAACAACCCCCTCGTAATAAAGCACCGGCCAAGATTATTCATTTTATTAGAAAATATATTTAAATTTTAATTTATTATAGGCAATAAAGCAGAAAAAAGATTTTTAAAATGTAAAATGATCTCACAAAGAAAATAGACGGAAAGGAGTTTAAAAATCAAGAAAATATTTTTTGTTTAAAGTTCCACACCTTCACCAAAAAATTTTAAAAAAATGATCAAGAGCTAGGTAAAATTAGGGGGAAGGAAAGGGGCAGACAAGACTGGGAATCCCTCAGAATTTATTCTAAATTTAAATTAAAGGTATTGAAATTGTGAAGTATTTGAAATTATGTTATCTCTTGAATTAATGGAAATGTTTGTAACAGAGTTTGTAACATTCACCCCGAAAATCGGAAATTCCCGATGATTTTAGGCTCATAAATTCCCGATTCACGAAAATCGGGAATTTGATTTTCCGTCGATGCGATCCCTGGTTTGTAGTATTGAAGGATATCGAAAGTACTTTGTTCAAACCACCCAAAGACTATTAACATGAGTATATGTCCATGCTGTAGGAAAAAATTTTTTTGGGGATGGGAAAGGGGATAATAATAACTCAAAGGAGATAATATACACAACTCAGAGCAACACAAATTATGCTTGATCCAATTTTTGATTTTTATTTATTTATATTACTTCAACACAGATCATAATTGATTATTCAAAATCTTTATTCTCTACAATTATTTTATCCATAAATCTTAAACTGTCCCATTTAAATTTATTTTAAATTTTATAGTCTGCTAATTTTTAGTTAAATTTTTTCAAAATTATTTATTTGTTGATTTAAAAAATTTAAACAAAATTACTTGATAAAAACACAAAAATTTATTTTTATTGCTTTTTTATTGGCCAAATATCTAAAGAACTTTTAATTATTTTTTTTCGGAAACCTCCAAGTGATTTATGATTAAAATATTTTTTAGAAGGTTTGCACATTTTTCTTCAAACTATTTTCGGTCTTTCCTTTTAAGTTGATCAAAATTAAAATTTAAAAAAATTAAAAATAATTAATTTATTTTTATATTTTAATTAAGAAGGGAGAGAGCGGGGGAGGGGGCATAGAAATTTGAATTTTAACATTTTTGAATTAAACAAAAATATAGATTTTTAGATTACCCGAAATCCGTAATCCGATACGCGAAATTCGTACCCGAAGATTTTTTTATCCCCGTCAATAGTGATCCGTATATTAGCAACTGATCCGTTTATTCACAAATACTTCAGTTTTTTGTCAGGACAGATTAAATCCTGTATGTACATAACAGTTATATGTCAGCAGACTTTGTAATGGACAAGGATTTTATTTTCCGTATCCTGTATTTACGTCGGATACAGGCGGATATCCGCAGTCATTTTGAACTTATCTGTATCCATATTCGTATCCATTACCAATCCTGGATCTCAGTACAATTTCAAAAGTATTCTCTAAATATTTTTGTTAAACTATTAAATTAATTTTAATTAATTCTGATTTTTTGAAAATAAAATAATTATTTTTTTAATATTTATTTTTAAAAATAAAAGGGACGACAAAAATTTTTTTTAATAATAATCCTTCCTTTTATTTAAAAAATAAAATCTTTTGTTTCATTTTACTCACAATTTTAATCCTTTAAATTCTACAAAATATTAACAGTTTTTACTAAATGTCCTTTCTGATATTTTTTAAATAATAAAAAATAAATATTTATTTTACCCCATTTATTTTTAAAATTTAATTAAAAATTTTTCTAATCAAATTTGAGCTTTTTTACCTTTTATTTTTTTTCTTTTTAATATTTCGTTTACATGGAGACATCAATTATTTTTTCAATATTAAAGGCAAAAAAGTATTTGTAAATATGTATCGTATCCATTGAAGCGCAAACAATTTTGTTTTTAAAAATAATTTTTTATTGTTTTTTAAATTATTTTTGTTTGGTTGTTAACAATAACAATAAATGTTAACCTTTACTCCTCCAATAATTAATTCTTTAAAAATTATTTGACCTATTGCCCTGAACTTTGGAAATTAAAAATTGTAAGGATGATTCACCTAGCAGCATTTAACCGATCTAAAGGGATAAAGGAGAATTAGTCGATGCCCCGGTAGTCAGCGGTAGAGCTCTTGTATATGGTGAGCGAAAGCGCCTAGCAATAACTGTCAGGAGGTCGCAGGTTCGAATCCTGCCCGGTGCCAATCCTCCCCTTGCTAAACTCTTTTTCAATATATTTATCTAGCATCCCTAAAAATTTAATAATTTTTAGTTCATTATTTTTATTTTTATGGACAGAAAACTACCAAAAATAGGCATTTTCTTTGATAACCTTCAGAATTTATTTTATATTTTCTAAAATAATTGATCAAAAATTCTGAAATTTTTGGAGGAGTTAAATAACGTTTTTAAGAATATTTTTCCAAAATTTCACAATTTTATCTTCACTTTAAAGAATTTTATAGGCTTTAACGCCGTAACTTTGCCGCGCCAAAACGTACAACTTCAGAATATTTTTAGGTTAAAATTAAATGGAAATTCCTTCAATTCTGATAAAAATTCTGATTTTATTTAATTTATTAATTTATTATATTTTTTGTTTAAATTGTTTTGATTCTCAATCGCCAATACCTATCAGAGTAACAGAATGTAAACTTGAAGAAGTTTGTTATGTTGAATATTATTCGTTAAAAACAACATTTAATAATTCTCAACTTGCTCATTATTTTGACCGTTTTTGTGTTAATAGACGTAAGAAAATTAAAAAAAAAATATTTTTATATTTTTATGTGTGGTCTTTTGAACATTAATAAATTTAAAAAAGAGATTCCCCCCAAATTCCCCCCTCCACCCCCTTCCCCCCCCCCCTTAATTTACCCAAAAAAATATTTTTTTTATCATACCGACCAACTACAAATAATTTTTAAAAAAATAATTTTTTATGAGGTAAAGGAACACCCTTTTAAATATCTTGTACTGAGAGTTCTCCTTTAATTCTTTGATTTATTTATTTAATGTTTAAATAAATATTCGAGACAATAAATTTAAATACAAAAACACATTCTTTATTTAATGAACAAAAAATTAAAAACTTTTTTGGTTAATTCTTTAGTCTATTTAATAATTTATTACTTTTTTATTTCTTTCTACTTTAAAGTTTAGTGATGTTCAAAAGTATAAACGCACTTGAAAAAATGGGGGTAACTCGTGATTAGAGATCAGACTAAACAAATATTTGATCAAATTTGAAAAGCATCAAATATTTTCAAATATCAAACTACCGTATTTATTCTAATTAAATGGCACCTCCAATTGAATGACATTTTTTAGGGTATTAAAAAATAGAATGGCTGCCATTCAATTAGAATAAATATGGTAATTGATTTGATTTTTCCGTTTGTTCGATCTCTATTCGGGAATATTATCAAATTTTGCATTAAAATAAAAAATTAAATTAGAATCATGAGAATATTTAAAGTTTTGGAATTATTCAATTTTTCTCGATTTTCCCTTGTTTTTTGGAAAATGTTAATAGAATTTTCATTATTTCTAAAATTCTTCTAAAAAAAATAATTCCAGAAAACAACTTAATTACTTACATTAGAGAACATAATTCTGAAACTTTTTAAAAAAATTAATTTTAAAAATTATTCAAAAAATAATTGAGAATTACCAATTAAAGAATACCTAAAAATCAGGGGTGACGCTAGCTAATCCCACAAAATACGAGACACGAGATTCACGAGTTAAGAGATTCTCAAAAAATAACGAGATACAAGACTAACGCTACTCCTGCTACCTTATTAATTCCCTAAACAGAATTTAAATTTAAACAATAATTTATTTTTTTATACAAAGGGCAGTGTACAGATAGAGGAATATGGCCAGAATACAAGCCCTGCATTAATTTATCACAATTAGACAAAATTGTTGCAAAAACTTTTGAAAGAAAATTACTTTCAGAAAGGCTGGATCCTACCAAAATTGTTTTTACACATTTTTGTTGTTGTTCAGATTCTGATAAATGTAATGAATTTGGGCCTGACAAAGTTGGAAAATTTTATTAAAAATTTAAGAAGACTGAAAAATAAATAATCTTAAATTACATTATCGAGTTCCACAAATTAATGAAAATTGAGAACTTTTTAATTTTGAAATATTTCCGGAAAAAGAGACGAATAATGATAATTTAATAAAAGAGGCGGTCACAGTTTTCAGCCGTAAACATATCAAAAAAAATAAAATTGAGTAAATGGACATGAAATAAAAAACATTTAAAATTAGATTACTAGAGATCAGGAGATCAATTCCTTTTTTAATATCACAAATGATTTTCGGTAATATTTTAGGGAAGCAAGAAAAAAAAGTTTGAATAACCTAATAAATAGACCCTCCTTTTCAATTAAATTCTAAAAAAAATCCATTTTAATTTAAAGTTACTTTCATTATTCAACATTACAACCTCAGAACAACCAGGAAATTATAGACATAATAAAGTTTATTCTGACGGAAGACGGCGAGAAAATAATAAAAGAAGGTGGTACAATCGAAGTGATAGAAAAATTATAAATTTATTTAATTATTTATTGTTTCAATTTATTATTTTAATATTTTTTTGTTAAATATTTATTTTAATTTAATTTCATAAACTTTGTAGTTGTAATTAAAAAACAACATATTTGAACTTAATTGTTGAAAGTAAACGTTCATTATTCACCATATTTTACCGTAAATATTCTAATATTTATAAGCCCTGGATTTACATATATTTTTCAATGGGTCTCCTTGGATGGGCTTAGATTATAGGTTGGATTATTTTAGATATTTACGGTAATTTAATAAACAAATAAAAGTTACGTATTAGTACTGGCCAGAGGAAAAAGTTTTCTTGCAGATTTTTTCCTCTTTTCTTCGTTTGGCTAAGTACTACATAATAAAATTTTTAATTGTTTATTAAATTAGAAATTATTTGACCAGAAAAATTATAAACCATAAAATTGACCGGTACATTGTTTATAATTTAAAGAAAATTTTAAAATAAAATGCTCCAAAAATTCTACAAAATTTCTGTGGATATTGTGTAGAAAAATAAAAAACTAGATCATCATTGAGATTTAAAATCCTAAAAATCAAATGGAAATATGGAGCTAAGTTACTTCAAAAAATATTTTAACTCCCTAGAGCTTATAGAAAAATTTTATTTCAGGCTCATTTGAAAGCCCATAAAACCAATTTTTAACATTTTTGGACCTATCTTATTGTTTTCTTTCTGATTTTTCTTAAATTTTGATCATAAAATTTGAATATCTATTTTTCTTTATAAAATGGAAATAACAATATAATTAAAAATTTATTCCAAGAAATGATAGTTTAACATGAATTTGAGAGGTGTCGTGTAAATGAGATTCAATTGTACTTCCATGATTCTTATTCAAGCTTTGTTATTACATTTAGGTCTGAATAGTTATTATGGATGTATTTGTGAACGATTAAAAACAGCATTTCGATATGGGGTGTTTGTTAAAATACAAATAATTGGGTTAAATACAGGTATTAAATGAAAGGAAATGTGAAATAATATTCGAATAATATTTGTTGTATTGTTGGTTGTTTTTGAATAAATTGCAAAAAATAATAGTCCTGATTGGTTGATAAATGGTACAATAGCCTAAAAATAAATTTTTAAAGAAATCTAATGTACTATTCATCAGGAATGCTCAGGATGCTCACTAGTAAATACTCATGACTTCCGACTTCCGATAATTTTTGAAGCATTGTTCCTAACCAGTGGCGGGCCCCATAAACTTTATCCAATTTCTTGTTTTTAAAATTTTCCCAATCATTCTCAAAATTTTCGCCTGCAGCATTAAGAAAGAGAATCCTTGATCTGAATACCCATATTCTGTCATCATGGAGCGGCTCAGAAAAACTTCCACTTCAACTCAGTGGTTCCCCTTATTCCTGCAACTTAAATATTTTCCCTTAATACCGTCAAATCTCCTGATAACTGGTATCAGACCTGCGAGAAACGTTCCGACATGTGTGTTTATTCTTTCAGTTTCGTTGTTTAGTTTCGAAACCTTTTAATTTGCTTCGCTTAAACAGAACCACCCTAAACTTTTCATTTACAAATACATATTTTCTCGAGGGCACTGTGAATATTCAATCATTATTCACAGTACAAGTTAAAAATGAAGCATTACTGACGTAAATGATCTTTGACAAAAAGGTCTGGGACATCCAGGTCTGGGACCTAAAGGTATCGCGGAGCTATCATTTGTGTATTTCAGTATATTCAGTGTATTTGACCTGCCTACAAAAAAATTGGGTCATGAGGTGAAACGACAATAGTACCAAAAATCATACCAAAATAATCAAAACTTTTGTCAAAAGTTTATTCAATCTTTTTAACCAGAACAACTTGAACAAATTTCTCGTAATGTGGTTCAACTTCTTACACCAATAATCGAGACAACAATTAAAACTCTTTTTCAACAATTAAATCAGCAAACTAGCAACAGTCAACAAACTTTTGAACTCAAACAGCAAACATCAAGATGGGGATGTCCCCCCAATCTAATGCCACCAAAAATTCAACAAGCTGCTACAACAATTGAACACCTTCATCAGCCTATATTCGATGAGAAACTCAAGGAACTTTATGAAAAGAAGAAATTCTACGCAGTAATCGAAAGATTTCCTGAATTAGAAAACGAAGAAGAAGACATTAAAGCTATAGAAAAAAACGTTCAGATGGTGGTAAATGACAAAAATTTCAAGGATATTAAGACTTTCGAAGTAAAAAGGCACGGAATTAAGAAGAAAAATAATTACAACCGCATCATCAAAGTAAAATTTTCGACTCCTTCTGCAGCACATTCTTTTATCAATCAATATAGAGCCATACACCAACCTAAATTAGGTGGGCATAGTCCATTCGCAAGAAGGGACTTGACCCCTCCTGAACTACAACTACAAAACTTCCTTAAACAGCAGGTTAAGGAAATCAATCATAAACATGGAAATGGCACTGCATGTTACCGTAATCTTAAAATTTATTATAAAAAGAAAGTGAACTTGGACTAGGATTTAGGGACCTCACAGAAAAATATTCAAAAAAATATAAGCAAATTTAAAAATTTTAAATGCCTTCTTCTAAATATACGCTCCATTAATTCAGATAAAATCGCATATAAATTATTTGAGCTAGAAACTTATCTAAATAAAAACAATATTTATCTCACATTTTTATGTGAAACCTGGCTAAATGATCAAATATCCAGCGAAACTCTTTTAATCTCCGATAACTATAAATTCTTAAGAGTAGATAGAGTTAAAGCTAGAGGCGGAGGTGTAGGTGTATTTTATAGGAAGGAACTAAAAATCGTAACTGTACCAAACCTTTCAGTATCAGAATTTAATCATGAACTACTAACTTTTGATATTTACTCAGAATTTAAAAGAATTAGATTCCATTTAATATATAGGCCGCCTAATACTAAATTAACCGATGATAAAAAATTTTGGCGTCTAATAAAGCAAAAATATAAAAACGAAGTTTCAACTATCATATTAGGGGACTTAAACTATCCGAAAATTAATTGGCAGGAGTTTGCATTTCCTAAAGATAAACAGAGCTTATATTTTTACAATACTATGAATGAACTAAATCTAAATCAGATAATAAAAGGAGCAACAATGTACAATAATGACCATACACTAGACCTGGTTCTCCAAAACAAACAATTAGTCGAAAACTATAAAATTGAGAGTAATTTAATTTTAAGTGATCACAAACCTATAGTATTCGAGTTAGTCTTCCCAATTGAAAAAATAACATCTAGGGAAAAAAGGAAAGTATTATTATTTAAAAAAGGAAAATATAAGGCAATCAATTGGTATCTAGCACAATATGACTGGTATAACTTATTAAATAATAAAAATCCTTCAGAAATAACTGAAATACTAAATAACATAATGACACAAGCAATACAAAAATTCGTACCTTTTAAAAAATTTGGTGAAAAAATACCCATAAAATACCCCAAAGAAATTAGAGAAACCATCAAACAAAAGTCCCTTGAATGGAAAAAGTTAAAATTAGGAGAAATTAGCCGGGATGAATATAAAAGTTTCGAAATTAAATGTAAATTGAAAACTCAAAAATATAGAAACGATTATCTATCAAAAAAGATAGGATCAGGCCACATAGGGGAGATACATAAATTAATTAAAAGGAAAAAATTTAACTTCTCTGGTATACCAATACTTAAAGAATCTGAGGAAAGTGAACCTATAGTATATGACACTGACAAAGCTAGAAAATTTAAAACTATTTTCGAAGAAGTCGTTAGCGGAGATACAAGCCATAAACATGTAAGCTTTGATGCTGAAGATGCATATAGGGGTGGTGAAAATATTTTTGAACCATATATTATAGAAAAATTACTCAAAAAGCTCCCAAATAAATTGTCTCACAGCCCTGAAATTGCTAATCAATATTTTCTTAAAAAATGTGCTACACCACTAGCTCTTCCTCTATCAATCTTATTTGAGAAGACATTTAAGACAGGAATTGTTCCTGAATTATGGAAAATGGCACATATTCTGCCTATATTTAAAAAAAATGGTTCATTGAATGACCCTACAAATTATAGACCAATTGCTTTAACATCCCCTACTTGTAGAGTTTTTGAGCGCATTATAGCAAATAATATCTTAGAACACCTTAACAAACAAAAATTAATCGCAGAAGAGCAATTTGGATTTTTACCTAAAAGCTCTTGTACACTTCAAATCTTGTCATCGATGCAAGACTGGTATAGTTCACTTGACAGGAAAATAGGTACAGATGTTATATATTTTGACTTTGAGAAAGCCTTTGATAAAGTAAACCACGAAATACTAATTAGAAAATTGCAAGAATTAAAAATAGATCGATTAATAATTCAATGGGTAGCGAATTTTCTCTCAAATCGATCACATAGTGTAAAAATAGAAGAACATTTTTCCGAACCATTTATCCCAAAAACAGGAGTCCCACAAGGGACGGTCTTAGGTCCATTACTTTTCTTAATTTATATAAATGACCTTCCAAAATATATTCCACAAAATGTTAAAGTAAAACTTTATGCGGACGATTTTAAGATTTATTCAGAAATTAAGACGGAAAAGGACTGTATAGAGTTACAGGGGGCTATAGACAATGCGTGTAAATGGGCAGAAATGAATCAACTTAAATTCTCTATAGCAAAAGTAAAGGTTTTAAAAATATACAACAAAATTAAGTTTAACTATGAGATAAATGGTAAAAAAATCGAAGAGGTTAATAACATAAGAGATCTAGGGATATACATAGATAACAAGCTAAAGTTTGATCATCATATATCAAAAATTACTAAATCCTCATTTATAAGAATTAACAATATCCTAGGAATATTACCAAAAACATTACCAATAGAAACATATGTAAAGGCATTCAAAACATACGTAAGACCAATTATGGAGTATTCCACCGAAAATTTTAGCCCCAAATTAGAATATCTTAATAAACAATTAGAAAGACCACAAAAAAGCTTTACAAGGAGAATTTTAAGATATAAATACAAATACCAGAAAATAGAATATAACGAAAGACTAAAAAGATGCAAACTCCTTCCCTCCAATCTCCGTCGTATAAAAACTGATCTTATGACAACCTACAAAATAATCATGGGTTTCTATAAAATAAATCCAGAAAAAATATTTTCAAAACCTAATAGAATTAATCCGCGCTTACATAAATATCAGCTATTTAAAAAGCAAGCCAAAAATAATCATTTCTTTTCACATAGAGTCATAGATAGATGGAATAAACTTCCAAAAAAAGAAATTGAGAAAATCAATACTATACCGCAATTTAAAAAATTTTTAGACAAAATATTAACTACAGAAGATTATAATTTATGAGTATGAATTAATGGAGTGTATTAACATAAAATCTTAACCCAAATGTTCACTTTCTTATCAAAACAAGTTTACTTAACATTTAAATAAAATTACCTGTGTTCAATACAAATATTTTTTTATACACCTAAATATACCTACATATATTTTTTTATAACATTTTAATTTCATACATTTAATTTATTTTTTTTTTCTGTGGAGTCCATTATTTATTTTTTTTCTAACTTATCATTTTTTTTTAAAAAATCTGTCATATTGTATTTGATTTTTTTTTGTACGTTACCTCTCCATAAGTGATCCCTGTGGATCCAGGAGTTTTTATTTTATTGTTTCACACTTATTTATTTGTGTTCGATAAAGAAAAAAAAAAAATTTAATTTCATAAACTTTGTAGTTGTAATTAAAAAACAACATATTTGAACTTAATTGTTGAAAGTAAACGTTCATTATTCACCATATTTTACCGTAAATATTCTAATATTTATAAGCCCTGGATTTACATATATTTTTCAATGGGTCTCCTTGGATGGGCTTAGATTATAGGTTGGATTATTTTAGATATTTACGGTAATTTAATAAACAAATAAAAGTTACGTATTAGTACTGGCCAGAGGAAAAAGTTTTCTTGCAGATTTTTTCCTCTTTTCTTCGTTTGGCTAAGTACTACATAATAAAATTTTTAATTGTTTATTAAATTAGAAATTATTTGACCAGAAAAATTATAAACCATAAAATTGACCGGTACATTGTTTATAATTTAAAGAAAATTTTAAAATAAAATGCTCCAAAAATTCTACAAAATTTCTGTGGATATTGTGTAGAAAAATAAAAAACTAGATCATCATTGAGATTTAAAATCCTAAAAATCAAATGGAAATATGGAGCTAAGTTACTTCAAAAAATATTTTAACTCCCTAGAGCTTATAGAAAAATTTTATTTCAGGCTCATTTGAAAGCCCATAAAACCAATTTTTAACATTTTTGGACCTATCTTATTGTTTTCTTTCTGATTTTTCTTAAATTTTGATCATAAAATTTGAATATCTATTTTTCTTTATAAAATGGAAATAACAATATAATTAAAAATTTATTCCAAGAAATGATAGTTTAACATGAATTTGAGAGGTGTCGTGTAAATGAGATTCAATTGTACTTCCATGATTCTTATTCAAGCTTTGTTATTACATTTAGGTCTGAATAGTTATTATGGATGTATTTGTGAACGATTAAAAACAGCATTTCGATATGGGGTGTTTGTTAAAATACAAATAATTGGGTTAAATACAGGTATTAAATGAAAGGAAATGTGAAATAATATTCGAATAATATTTGTTGTATTGTTGGTTGTTTTTGAATAAATTGCAAAAAATAATAGTCCTGATTGGTTGATAAATGGTACAATAGCCTAAAAATAAATTTTTAAAGAAATCTAATGTACTATTCATCAGGAATGCTCAGGATGCTCACTAGTAAATACTCATGACTTCCGACTTCCGATAATTTTTGAAGCATTGTTCCTAACCAGTGGCGGGCCCCATAAACTTTATCCAATTTCTTGTTTTTAAAATTTTCCCAATCATTCTCAAAATTTTCGCCTGCAGCATTAAGAAAGAGAATCCTTGATCTGAATACCCATATTCTGTCATCATGGAGCGGCTCAGAAAAACTTCCACTTCAACTCAGTGGTTCCCCTTATTCCTGCAACTTAAATATTTTCCCTTAATACCGTCAAATCTCCTGATAACTGGTATCAGACCTGCGAGAAACGTTCCGACATGTGTGTTTATTCTTTCAGTTTCGTTGTTTAGTTTCGAAACCTTTTAATTTGCTTCGCTTAAACAGAACCACCCTAAACTTTTCATTTACAAATACATATTTTCTCGAGGGCACTGTGAATATTCAATCATTATTCACAGTACAAGTTAAAAATGAAGCATTACTGACGTAAATGATCTTTGACAAAAAGGTCTGGGACATCCAGGTCTGGGACCTAAAGGTATCGCGGAGCTATCATTTGTGTATTTCAGTATATTCAGTGTATTTGACCTGCCTACAAAAAAATTGGGTCATGAGGTGAAACGACAATAGTACCAAAAATCATACCAAAATAATCAAAACTTTTGTCAAAAGTTTATTCAATCTTTTTAAATCTCCATCTGTAAGGGTCAAAGGTATTCTCGGAGTTTGTTTCCTATAGTTTATAGTCATTTTATTATTATTCATTTCCCTCCCACTTTTCTCACACATTTAAAAGGATTTGTAATCACCTTGCAAGTGTCTTATTGTTCATTCACTTTAATGAAATAAATAATGTTTTAATAAAGCTTTTAATATTTGGATTTAATAAATATATAAATTGTGTTCAATTGTGTATGCCTGGTGCAGGAGATCGACCGGGGGCCTGATCAACCCTTTGGTTCCTCTTAGGAAGTCCCGGGCATATCCCCTCCCGTATTCCATCATTCTGGGGTTTGGGCCCACCGCATGGTAATATCTTATTCCGGGGGTCCCACCTCTACTGGTAGCACCGGTCCTTCGACATCGACGTGGAACCGGGAGGTAGGTGTAATTTTTTTTTAAAAATTTATATATATTAAAACTTAAGTTAAAGGCCTATAAAATAATTTTTGAGTAAATAATGTAAGACCCAGGGCATTTATAAATTTTTGGGAATAATAAAAATAAATAATAAAATTTTAAAAAAAGCTTTATGGTAGCGCGCGTAAACCCATGTATAGACTTCCTTCGGGAAATAAATGGATTTAAAATAAATATATTATATTTTTCTCTCTATTTTCTTATTTCATAAAGTCTAATCTTCAGAATTTTCTTTCCTTCTCCTTCGGAAAAAAAGGAAAAACAAGAGTGATCTTCTGGAAGAGTATATTTGTTAGTAATTTATTGACTAGTTAAATTCTATTTTTGGGAGTAGATTTAAGATTAAATTCCTTCGGGAAATTCAAGGATTTAAACTATATTTTTCTCTTCAGTCTTTTCTTCAAGGTCTATATTTTTTAATCTAGCTATTTCCAGAAGTCTTAAATTTTTGTTAAAATAGGTGATGTTTTGGATTAAGTGGATATTTATTAAAATACATTTGGTTATTCTTGACCTTTGATCATTTTTCTATGTGCATTATTAATATATTTGTTTACTTTCTCATTCATAAATTCTCGTCCATTTTTTTTATTCTTTGCTTTTAAAATTTCATTTTCTTCCCACATTAACATTTTTAACTTTACAATAGCCTTTTTCCTAAGTGTTTGTTAATATAGGTGTGATACAATCTTGATTTTCCTTTTTTCCACTTGTCTAATTTTTCCTTCCATTAAATTACAATAATTTTTCTCCTGCTGACTATCTTCATTTTAAACTTTGTCCTTCGAGAATATTTTTTTAAATAAATATTTTTTTAAACAATTTTTCTATCTTTAATATTTTAATTTATAGTCTTTATTTCCAAAGTATTTTTTTCAAATATCTGTTTAAAAATATTTGAACAATCCTTTTTAAATATTTACACTTATCAATTTAATGATTTTTTTTTCTCTTCAATTTCAGAATCAAAAAAAAACACTAAATTTTAAATTTATTTTTATTTGGCTTTGGCTACTATCCGGATTTGAACTTTTGGAATTGTAAGTTTAAAAAAAAACAGTCTCTAAAATATTAGTAAATTAAAAATAAATTTTCCAACCCTTTTCAATTCTAAATTAGTGATTTTTCAGAAATTTGACTCATTGTGATTGGCGTTGACTTATTGTGACTGTGAACGTGAATTACCGTTTTGGATTGGAAGTGAGTTAAAATTTAAAAAAAAAAAAAAAACTCAAATAAAATTTAATTTTCTCTCCTTCTCTCTAAAACTCTCTAAAATCCATTTTTAATTTTTCTGATACATATTTTATACAGTATATATATTTTTTTGGCATTTTAATTATTTTTAAAATATTTTATTTTTGTCATTTTAGTTGAAATTTTTGTACACTTCTCCTTCAATTTCTACTTAGAAACTATGTTTTTAAGGGTATTTAAAGAAAAATCTAATTTTTAGAATATCTCCCTTAGTTAGAAAAATTATTAATTTTTCATTGAAAATTTTGGATTAATTTTAAAATGTCTGAAAATAAAATTTTAAATTTTTACGGCCTAGGATTTGGCAATGCCCGGTTATTTTACTATTACTTTCTAAGTATTTATTGTATAGATTATTTTGTTTGTTTATTAATTGGTTTTCCTTTCTAATTAGTTCCTTTTTCTCTCTTATTTTTCGATCTATTCATCTATTCAATAGTTTTTTTTCATTGAGTTTTTCCCCCTCTTACAGTAAATATTTTAAATTGAAAAGAGAGAAAATATATACAAATAAATTTTCTTTTAATTGGCTGAAATTAACCTGAGAGTTTAGAAATTTAGAAAAGGAGAAAATTTAGATTAAAAGCTAGAAAAGAAATTTTTTTTAAGAAAATATTTCTGGGATGAAATTAGTCGTAAAAAAAAAATATTTAGTTCGGCTGAAATTGATAAAAGGGATTGTAATGGTTAGAAGAAAGGGAATAATTAAAATTTTTAAACCAATTTCTGATTATTTTTCTCTCAAACTTTTCACTCCATTAATGACCATCTAAAGTTGCTCTCATTTTATTTCCGTTTCATTAGTATAATTAATTTATTTTTTTCTTCTTATAAACCTTCACACTTTAATGATTTTAATACGTATTTTAGTACTGAGTTTTTTTAATAGAAATTTTTAGCCGGTATTTATCGATAAAAATAGAACTAAAAGAAAAGAAAAAGTAGCTCTTTACAATAAAAACTTATATTTTTCCCTCATCTAAATAGGCTAAAATTTCTTTTCATATTTTGAAATAGTTTCTCATCGATGCGTAATTTAACAGATTGGACGCATTAAAATGCAATATACTCACAAATCTTTATTGTACTAACTTCATTTAAATTTAGTATACCAATTACATTTCTTTTGGATTTCTCTTTAAAAAGCTTTTCCTCTCAAAAAAAAAGAAAATTATTATTAGTTTAATATTACGTTTATATTAGAGGAAAACAGCAAATAAAATTTTTTTAAAAAAATAATTTTGAGGTATTATTGATCCGGTCATCATATCTGTCGAAAAGTTGGAACCATTTTTCTATGAGGGAAGAATTACTAAAATTATATAATTTTTTTATTAAAATTTGGGGAAAATAACCACTCTTATTTATTCACTCTTCGATTATTCAGAAGAAAATTCTGTAATTAAGAATTTTATTTGCTGTTTATTAAAATCATAATTTATTTGAAAAGTGTATCAATTGTGACAAACAAAATAATAATCTGCTCTAAGAATTTTAACTCCTGTTTTAATAGATACATTTTAATTTGAAGGAGAAAAAGAGAAAACTAATTATTCTTTTATAACTGTAATCCACTCTAACTGTAATCCATGTATTAAATGTATTTTTTTCCTTTCTTTCTCTCCTCAAATTAAACTTTGTTTTGAAGGAAAGTAAATTCCCTCATAGGTGGTAATGAAATATCTATAAAGAAAATATTTTATACGGCTTAGGCTACAATATGAGTAAGATTTGGGCTCTGAACTAGTAAATTCTGGTTTTAACTAAAAATAAATAATTCTAATAAGAGTATCTATAAATTTGGCATCCATGGTTGATTTTTTTTCTTTTCATTTTTCTTTCTTTCTTTAGAATCTTGTTATAACCTAATTTCAATTTTCACGTGGTAATTGAGCATCAAAAAAAAAAGTTAAAAAAAAAGTTATAGCAACTTTTAGATTTTTGAATTTATGCTTAATCGATGCTTAACTTAACAGACCGGACGGGTCATGCCGCTACATCTTTGCTAAATTTATTCTATTACAATGAATAGGATCTTCTATATTTGTTCATACCCGTTCTACTTTAACTGTCATAATATATTAAATTTATTTTAGAATCCTTACGCTAATATTTTCCGTTATTTATCGTTCTAAATTTGGTGTTTTATTTGGCTTACTTAATTACCTTTAAATATTTTTCCCCTTTCCTTCGAACAAGTTTAATATTTAATATTAAAAGTTACTTGTAGTATAATTATTTCTAATGAGATGAATTTTTACTTCACAAGATTATTAAAAAGAAATTCTGTTTTGAATAACAAAAATGTCATAATTTTCTTAAGATGTTTAAATTTTATATTGTGCAATTCTTTAATAATAGGGCTTTATTCTTCTCCAAAATTTCCCTTTAAAATCTAAATGGCAGCTCAAAGCAATATTTATTAAAATTGTTTTTAGAATATATTGATTTTTATTAAAAATTCATAAATGTCAATTTGTTAAAAAATATACTTCACTATAGGTTCTGGAATATTATAATTAATTAAATTTTCATTTAATCACTGGATCCCACATTTTTGCGAATCTCTTCTCTCAATTAAGTTAAATTA